GATTTGCTAGTATTTATTACTTAATAATTTAAATTTTTTGAATATTATTAAACAAATTATGTTATAATTAAATTAATTTAATAAAATAATTTTTATTAAATTATTTAAATATATTATAAATTTAACATACAAGTTTTTAAAAATCGGGTCCGATTCAACAGTTGGTCGATTGAACTGGCGATTCAAACATGTTATCACAGATTTGATGCTAGACCGATTTTTCATAAGGATCAAATCAACCATATTATTGGTTCACAGTTGAACCGGTCGACCTGACCAGTCCAATTTGGTTTCAAAACCATGGTATCAACCTTGCTCTTTATATCTGAAAGGTGATGCATTATTATTTTACCCTTCATTGCACGTGATGCGATCATTCTTGAGTTGAAGAATATAAAATATATTTGTAGATTGAAGGTTTTTTCAATTCTTTTTCAAATTTCAGTGCATAACTCAAGGTTGAGCACATAAGAAAGGAGTATTTTAGAAATTGTAGGGCAAAGTTTTGCAGCCAAATTTTGATCTATTTGTATCCAAGTATTATAGTGAGGGTAAGCGACAACACTATCAGTTTTGCTCTTGATGTCTTTCAAATTTGAGAAAGATTTGTCAAACTCATTTGCAATGAATTAAGGGCTTCAGAATTTGGGATTTTCAAAAATGATGGTAATCAGCAGTTAATTGAATGTTAATTACTAATTTGATATTTGTCATACAAAATTTATGTTGAGGAGATAGAAATATTTTACTCATCTTAATCAATAGTTCAAATAGAGTGGTTATATTGAGTGTGGAAGAGGAAGATTACTCCATAGCAAAATATGAAGCTATTTAGAATGGAGAAAAGGGAAGGCCACTTGTCTTTAATGCTCTAATATCATGGTGAAGATTCTATTATGATACCTTCAATGAGAAGAAGTAGAACATAAAAATAAATATTAGGAAGGCTCTCTAAGTGAACTCAAGTTTGTTTAAATCAAAGAATTGAGAAGAGTTGGTTAACCATCAACAATTAAGATTTATAGCAAATAAAGTAGGTTGTAGTCATAACATAGTGGACATAATAGCTAATAGATAGAGCCTCATATCTCGATAGTTGGCTACTTATCACAAGTCTACTTATCAAATGTTACACATTATTAAAAAAAAAAATTTAAGGGGAAAGTAGGAAATAATGGAAATTATGTTATTTTTTTCATTTAAAATTTTGATAAGCATGAAGAAATAGATTCTAAGTTTGCTTAGACTTCGAATTTGAAATGCAGCATAAAAGAGAGGTTTGCTCATTAATAGACAAGTAAATAGATACACTCGAATCAATTATCGCTCTTAGTTTAGCTCATTTATATATTTTTATATCAAAATTGGGCTAAGTTTTAATGTGATCTAAGTTTTAAAGAGGCATTTGATTTTATGTCTCTAATAATATTATTTAGACAAATATGTTGCTAAGCTTTTATTAGAAAAAATATGACAAAAACTTTGAGTTGGACAAAAATGCCTTTACTATTAAAGCATGGTCATAGTTATTCCAACTTTTGAATAAAAAACATGCTCAAACTTCTCACTTCTCTTTGGTTGTCTCAAAGTTATAGCAGCCAATCTAACATCAAGTTTGTTGAGATCCCTTCCAATGCCTATTCATCACAATCCATTCACAAACCATTTGTTCAGAATTAAACTCCGATTGGGATGACTTTCTTACTGCTTCTTAAAGCAGGTTCGTAGTACAAAAATTATAACATAATTAATGAAAATACATCCACTAAGGCATTGTTTGTGACGGCTTTCTTACTTTCTTCTTAAAGTAGATTTCTAGTATAAAAATTAAAACTTTTGTACTAAAAATTACTTTAATAAGCAGTAAGAAAACCATCCCAAACGCACCCTAAATCAATCTCGATTCAAATCTGACATCTTCTATGACTATACCTCTAACAGTGGGGTAGCTCGCCTCTTCCATTATCTGATAAAATATATCAACTTCACTAATGAAGTATTAGATTAGATAAATAGTAAATGTTAAATTTTAATTATATTATTTCTTATTTTTTAAATACTACAAATATAAATCTTAATAAATTAACTATCACCCAAACAAATCTTAATAGTCCTCTCTCCTCTCTCTTATTTCTAATTTAATTACCCCTCTCTCTCTCTCTCTCTCTCTCTCTCTCTCTCTCTCTCAATTCTTTTTTAATTTTCCTTTCCGCATGGAAGACTTAATGGAAGAAGCAAACGAACGCTTAAGGCCCCAATCGAACTTTAAACTAAACAAAAAAAATTTTCGTTTTCGCCCTCGCTTCTTCCACCATCTTCCCTCTTGGGGCTTATAGTATTCTCTCCTGCGCCCTCTTCCCTTCTTCACCCCAAACCCCTCCTCCCTCTCCATCTCTATGAATTCATCATCTAAAATCAATCTCCCTAATCCCTTTCCCCATCATTTGAAGCCCTACGACTGGCAAAAGCTCATGTCATGGCTTCCCAGAACCCACAAAAGGTCAGTTCCTTCTACTTCTCATTCTGTTCTGATCCTTTGTTACACCTAAAAAAGGTTCCTTTTTGTGATTTGAGTTTTACTTTGTTTCATCAGTAGGATTCTTAGTTTCGTCTGATATTTAACCAAAAAAAAAACGCAGTTTTTAACAATATTCTCCAATCCACCGAGCCCCAAATTGACTGGAAGAGGGAAAGATATCGGTTTCTTCTGGAGGTGTCTATCTTCCGTTCTTTATCTTACAAATACCATTGCTGGAATTCAATTAATGGAAAATTTTGGCTTGGCTTTCTCCCTACTTTCATTCCTGCTGCTTTCGTCTTCTTACTGTTCAATCGCCGCCGCCGCCGATGAAGCCGCTTCTCTGATTCAATTCAAAAAGTCCTCCGTCGAACTCGACCCCAAGGGGTTTCTACATGACTGGGTTGCTGAAAGTAACGATCCCTGTTCATGGACAGGAGTCCTTTGCACGCAGCCGAATGGCTCGGTGCAGAAGCTTAACCTTAGCAACATGGGACTCGTCGGCCGGCTTCTAATTGACACGCTAATGGCGTTGCCGGCGCTTCGAGACATCGACCTCCATGGCAATTTCTTTTCTGGCAATCTCAATTACAGCAGCAGCACAAGTCCTCCATCTTGCAGCTTCGAGATCGTCAACCTTTCGTCAAACAACTTTTCGGAACAGATATCTTCGCCGTTCCTCACCTCCTGCACCCGCCTCTCCTCGCTAAATCTGTCAACAAATTTGATTCCCGCCGGAGTTTACCCCTTTGGTTCGTCTATCCGAGTGCTTGACGTTTCCAAGAACAGGATTTCTGATGATGGATTGCTCAACTACTCTCTCTCCAGCTGCGAAGGCCTCACGTACCTCAACCTCGCTGATAATAAGATTGCTGGGAGGCTGAGGAGTTTGCCATCTTCGTGCACGAGACTCGCCGCCCTCGACCTCTCCGTTAATTTGATTTATGGTGAGATTCCGAGCAACTTTATATCATCTCTGCCGACTTCGTTGAACCAGCTTAACGTCTCTCACAACAACCTAACCGGCGAATTCTCCGATTTCAACTTCGGTGGCTGCGGAAATATTACAATCCTCGATCTTTCATATAACCATCTGCAAGGCAGCGGGCTGCCGGCAAGCCTCCGCAACTGCCAGCAGCTGGAGCAGCTCTCCCTCTCCGGCAACAATTTCACGAATCAAATCCCAACCTTTTTCCAAAATTTCACCAATTTGAAGCGTTTGGATTTGGCAAATAACAATTTCTCTGGTCAGATCCCGGCCGGACTAGCCGGAGCGTGTAAGAATCTCATTGAGCTCAACCTATCCTCCAATCAGCTAACAGGCGGCCTGCCGTCAGGCTTTTCCGCGTGCTCCAACCTTGAAATTCTCGACCTCAGCACGAATTTTCTCTCTGGGAATTTCACCGAACAGGTTGTTTCAAAGCTGACTTCGCTGAAGCAACTCCGCCTTTCCTTCAACAAAATCAACGGCGAGCTGCCGCTGCGAGCGCTCGCCGGCTGCAAGCTCTTGAAAGAGATCGACCTGAGCGCCAATGAGTTCACCGGTGGAATGTCAGCTGAGTTCTGTCAATATCTACCTTCTCTTGAAAAGCTCCACCTAGCAGACAATTACATCTCCGGCTCGGTCCCCGCAGAGCTCGGCAACTGCACTAACCTCCAAAGCATCCATCTCAGCTTCAACGACCTCGCCGGCGAGATCCCATTACAGGTATGGTCGTTGCCGAAACTAGTCAACATCGTCATGTGGGCCAACAAACTATCCGGCGAGATACCTGGCGATCTCTGCTCCAAAAACCCTAACCTCGAGATGCTCGTACTGAACCTCAACGCCCTCACGGGAACCATCCCCGAGTCCCTAACCGACTGCTCGAAACTCATCTGGGTCTCCCTCTCCGGCAACCAACTAGTCGGCGACATCCCCGCCAAAATGGGAAATCTTCAGAATCTAGCGATCCTCCAGCTCGGAAACAACTCCCTCTCAGGCGAAATCCCGCCGGATCTCGGCAACTGCAAGAATCTCATATGGTTAGACCTGAACAGCAACAACTTCACCCAATCAATACCGCCTTCGCTCGCTTCCCAAGCCAACCTCATCAACGCTGGCATCGTCTCAGGGAAGCCATTCGCCTACCTCCGCAACGAGGCTGGAAACATCTGCCCCGGCGCCGGAACCCTCTTCGAGTTCCAAGGAATCCGGTCGGAGCGGCTTGGAAGCCTCACATTAAAAAACTCCTGCTCCCCCACTCGAATCTACCAAGGAAACACCGTCTACACCTTCCAAACTAACGGGAGCATGATATACCTGGACCTCTCTTACAACTTTCTTACGGGCGAAATCCCTAGCGTCTTCGGCGCCATGGAATACCTCGTAGTTCTCAATCTGGAACATAACTCTCTCACGGGACCAATCCCCGACACGTTCGGAGGTCTGAAGTCGATCGGCGTGCTCGATCTCTCGAACAACAATCTCACCGGCCCGATCCCTGGATCGCTTGGGGCCAACGGCTTTCTCAACGACCTCGATGTTTCCAATAACAACCTCAGCGGCCAAATCCCTACTTCGGGCCAGTTCACCACTTTCCCGGCCTCCAGCTACGAGAATAATTCCGGACTCTGCGGTATCCCTCTTAAGGCCTGCAATAAATCTTCCGGTTCCTCGAATTCCAACGGCGGCCACCGCCGGCGATCGCTCAGCGGCAGCGGCTTCAGCCTTCTCATCGGCGTTGCGCTTTCCGTCCTCATTCTTCTCTCCCTGGCTCTTGCTCTTCTCAAGATCAAGAATCGTCGAAAGAAAGCGGAGGAGCTCGGCGCTACAATCGGCATCGGAAACGGCGGCGGAGGCGGAGGCTACATTGAGAGCGTCCAGACCTCCGGCAGCGGAAGCTCAAAGCTCTCCACGAGCGAGCTGGCGCACCTCAGCATCAACGTCGCTGCCTTCGAGAAACACCTGCGGAAGCTCACCTTCGCCCATCTGGTCGAAGCCACAAGCAACTTCAGCGCGGAGAGCCTCATCGGCTCCGGCGGCTTCGGCGAAGTCTACCACGCCCGTCTCAAAGATGGTGCCGTCGTCGCCGTCAAGAAGCTCATTCACGTCACCGGCCAAGGGGACCGTGAGTTCACAGCCGAGATGGAGACCATTGGCAAGATCAAGCATCGCAACCTCGTCCCCCTTCTCGGCTACTGCAAGGTCGGCGACGAACGCCTCCTGGTCTACGAATACATGCGCTTCGGCAGCCTCGATGTCGCTCTCCATGACAGCAAGAACAGAGCACCCAGCGCGCCGAGACTCGACTGGTCCGCGAGGAAGAAGATCGCCATCGGATCAGCCCGCGGCCTCGCATTCCTCCACCACAGCTGCATCCCCCACATAATCCACCGCGACATGAAGTCGAGCAACGTCCTCATCGACGAGAATCTCGAGGCCCGCGTCTCCGATTTCGGCATGGCGCGCTTAATGAACGCCCTCGACACGCATCTCAGCGTGAGCACGCTCGCCGGAACACCAGGCTACGTTCCGCCGGAGTATTACCAGAGCTTCCGTTGCACGACGAAAGGTGACGTTTATAGCTACGGCGTAGTTCTCCTCGAGCTCCTCTCCGGGAAGAAACCCATCGACACGATTGATTTTGGGGACAACAATCTCGTCGGCTGGGCCAAGCAGCTGGTGAAGGAGAACAAAAGTGCCGACATTTTTGATCCTGAGTTGGTTCAAAGCAGCAAGACAGGGGACGTCGATGAACTCCATAAGTATTTAAAAATAGCTTTTGAGTGCCTGGAAGACCGGCCACACCGGCGACCGACCATGATTCAGGTGATGGCCATGTTTAAGGAGCTTCAAATGGATGCCGATGGCAGCAGCGGCAGTGATGTGCTCGATGGTCTTTCCATTAGAAGATCAGTCATTGAGGAATCGGCATAGTTTTACATAGAAGATCTATATAGATATTTCTTGGTTCTTATGATTTTTTTGTTGGAGCATTTTGATTACTGTAAATACAACAGAAAAGATCTTGTAGATTGTCAGAAATTTGAGCGAAGAGAACTACTCTCTTTTGTTTTCGAAGAAATCCATGACATCTATCTTTGTCTCAGCCTGATTCTTTCTCTTTCATATATTTCACTGCAACATAAATACAGAAAAGCCAGCTTAAGCTTTTTTTTGTTCTGATCAAAAGGTGTTCGTTGACAACATCACCGTGCTCTATTGTCTTCATTAATCTGTCACACTTGGAAGCCTATTAAGATCAATAGAACGTGTCATGTCATCTTTTTGCTCGATAATATTCAGTATCATCCGATAGAACGTGTCATGTCATCTTTTTGCTCGATAATATTCAGTATCATCCGATACTGTAGCTTGATATCATTAACGTGATTTACCTGATTCGCCTATACATCCGGTCTCCGCACAGAATAATCCATCATGTAGAAGATAGTGATGAAATAGTTCACAAAATTTTTCAACAAAAAAAAAAAAGTTTAGTGTATCTTTCAAAGATTCCTGTGATTTTTTTTTTTAATTTTCTTATTAATTATCTCAGCAATGAGTGATGTGAGTATGTAGATTAATTTTAAGGAAAATTATATGAATCTTCTCTAAACTTTACTTTTTTAATAAAATTAATTTACATATTATTTTTTGAATAATCAAATATGACACAATCAAAATAGAAAGAAAAAATACAAATTTAAATATTGAAATAATGATTTAAAAAATAAAAATAGGAGAATTTAATTTTATACATTTCTAAATTTTGAATATTATGTATATAATTATTTGATTATAATAAATATATCAATAATATTAAAAATATAATGAGCAAATATCCCTGCATTTCACTCGTATTCTTCAAAAATATTTTACTTGTTGATCAAACATCACCTAGTAGAAAACTTGTATCTTAGGTTTCGTTTGGGCCGATTTTTTTACTGTTTCTTAAAGTAGCTTTCTAGCATAAAATTAATTTTTTTTTACTATAAAATTGTTTTAAAAAACAGTAAAAAAAGCTTTGTGTCAAATGACACATTAAAATTTTAAGAATTGCTTATTATTTATCTCGACGCTTCTCAATCACTTCTAAAATTGAAATTGACAATCATATATAGAACAAATGCTACTAACATACAAAACATAAATTTTTCATATTAATTAATGGCTTGCTTATGCCATATAGAATAATAATTATTTGCTAAACGCTCAATAAAATATTAATTAGTAAGTCTAAACCTATCAAGAAAGATACTAATATCTCAAGCTTTTCCATTTCAGCCTCATCAAGAGTGATAGAATCAAGAGAGGAAGGTGGAAAGTTAAATCCCTTAAATCTTTTTATAAAATGCAAAAGCTTCCCCCTTTCGCAAGAAATTATTCTATGCGGATGTCGAACATCGTCCAGAGACCAACGTCCCAAAATACGCGACGTCACCCCATGCTCGATACCCAGCGAGATATTGCTCGGTACCACGGCTCGATACCGCTTGGTAACCGGCTCAGTACTATTGCCGTGGCGCATTCTGGTTCATCTCCGTACGGTAAACTGCGTTCGGCCTCGACACAAAATAATATCTCTCCCTTAGCGCCTTATAATTTAATAGATTTGAATAATTATTTATTTTTCCTCCTTCGATTAAATTTTGTCTAAGCCTAATAAGTACAAAAATCTCCACCAAATATTAACCAATGACATATGACATATTAGAAAAAAATACAAGTGATGATGACATATAACCCCTTCAATATATATAAAAAATCATCATTGACATTATTATTTATATTTTGTTTGTTTCTCTAAAAGAAAACTTTAGACCAAATGGGAGGAAGAGAAAGCCATCTCTTTCAAGCGTGAGAAAATAAATGCACACAAGGGGAGCCGTGAGCTTACTCTCATCAATAATATGTGATTAGGTGACTAATTAGCTTTATGGTTAGGTCTCCATTGATGCCTCTTCTTTGCACGTGCGAGCGATGAAATCGAGAAGGACAAGAAGGATGATGTACGTTTTTTCCTGGTCAAGATATGCTATCTAGGGGTGTCAATTTTTAACACGACCCGAAACACGGCCTGAATCCGATCCGGAAATATCCGGGTTAGGGTCAACCCGGACCCAAAACGGGTCGGGTTCGAGTTCAACATATCAACCCATTTTAAAAAATGGGTCAGGTTCGGGTTGACCCAGCAACCCGAAAATGACCCGAAAATGACACGAAAACGCCTATTTGACTCGGAAACCCGAGATTGACCCAATTTTGACCCGAAAATCGAAGATTGACCCGATTCTTTACCCGAAAACTAGCAATTTTATGTCAACTTCGGGTCATTCGTGTCGGGTCGGGTTGACTCGGACCCGAATCGGGTCGGTTGGGGTCCGGAAACCTGACCCGTTTTTAAAAATGGATCAGATTTAAGTTGACCCAAACAGTTACGGGTTCGACTCAAACTTGACCCGTTGACCCGAATTGACACCCCTAATGTTATCTATTGCTGGTAGAACAATAGAAGAAGAAAGAGGATTAAGAAGGAGATTAGCTTTGTAATTAGAGATAATTAAGATGATTAACAATTGCTTCTATTAATTCTTCTTGGAGAGGTCCCCTACAAAGGAAAACGACCTTACTTGTTGGCGCTTCTATGAGCTTTGACTAAGGGAACTATTGAGAGAAAAGGAGATCCATTGAGATGGAGAAAGAAGGGGGGATTCAGTAGTTGCCCCCTCAAGCAAGGCTTCTTCAATTATTCAGTCATTTAAGTATTCAAATGGTTTGATGTAATTAGGCGTGTTAAGGAAGGGAGGGTTAGCCAAGTGGATGGGAAATTTTTGGTAGATTGTTGACAATTTTTTTAATTATTTTTGTAATTTTGAAAATTGTTTTTTAGTCTTAAATAGATGTCACTAGGTTTAGAAATTGTGAAGGGTGGACTTGCTTCTTGTCTCTTTTTGCAATTTGTTTCTAGAATTGGGGAAGCAATTCATGCAAAAAAAAAAATTGTTTCAAATAATATTTGAATTTAGTTTCTATTGAAAGTTTTGGTCAATGTTAGCTTTGACCAAAATGTTTCTTTTTTTTTAATAAATTGTTATTGTTTTTTTAATATCAAGACTAGATTTTTTTTTTTTTCATTTGAGAGATTTGCCTTAGATGGTTTGGACATATAAAATGTTGGCTTTCTAATGACCTGATTAGGAGAGTGAATGTATTAGATTTGGCCTAAGTTAAGACAGGTTGAAGTAGACATAAAAAGACTTTGCTAGAAAATATTAGAAATGATATTTTTTTATTAACTATAAATGAGAATTTGACTTTTAACATAGTGAAAATATTTTGTGCAGACGCCGAACGCCGTCCAGAAACGTCCCCCCCCCCCCCCCCCCCCCCCCCCCCACCCCGATCGGTACCATGGCTCGGTACCGCTCTGTACTCGGCTCGGTACTACTAACGTGATGCATTCTGATTGGTCTCCGGACAGAGCTCCTAGGCAGTCTGGTAGTCAGCGGCGAAAAGCCGCCCGGGCTGTCGGGCAAAGAATTTTTTTTATTTGTCCGGCGGCCAAATAGCGCCGGAAGGCCGCCGGAATATTTTACCACCGGAAAAGGCTGTCGGAAAAAATTTTCCGGCGCGTGTTTTACCGGCGGCAATTTTTCCGCCGGTAAAGTTCAAAACCGCTGGAAAATTATCACATTCCGCATGAAAAAGCCGTCGGTACTTAATGATTTTGCTGTAGTGAAACTCCTACCGATTTTTGAAAAGCTTATAATTGAATTAATTTCATTCTTTCTATAATTTGTGAGGAATTGCCATCAAATTTGAAAAATAAGAATATAGAAAAAGAAATTTTAACTAAGGTTTAGATTAGTGGATTCCAACCCATAAAAATCAGCTAACATATGGGTTTTATTCTCATCTATCAAACCAATTTGAACTAACCTTAGTTTGCTAGTTCAAATAACACCTCACAAGTCCCCAAAAGAGCCATTTGGATATAGGGAGTCTTAATGAAAGGGAACAAAAAATAGTTTTTTTTTTTTTTAATTATTAAAACAAAGATTTAATGGCTGCATATTCTTAATCCAAACACAAAAAGCCAGAATTACAGCTTCATTAATTTCACTTTCTTTCCATTAAATTAAAATATTTGGTGCCATTTGGATTTTTTTAAAGTCAGCCAAAGTACATGAAAACCATAAAATTATTATAATTTTATGTAATTTAATCTTTATTACTACTAATATAATGCCTAATTTCTTAAATTGCATTAAGAATATTATTAATTTTATATAAATAAAAAATTATGTATTAGATATCTCTTCGATCGTTGACACAATGATGCTAATTTTTTGTTTTTAATATTTATTATAATTTCATATAAAAAATGATTTGCTCTATAAATTTATTAAAATTTTCATGAAGATTTATTAAATAATAACTTTGGCTATCTCTTAAGATCACAATTTTCAAATATTATTATTATTATTTTTATTGAAATAAATTTATTCTGCATTTAAAAAAGAAATTAGCATAAGCATCATATTGAAGATTAATTTACTAACATATATTTAAAAATTTCATCAAAATAATATTGATGATTCAAGAGAATAATATTGTATGCAATTATTATTGAATCACAATAAAAAATTTTATAGTCTGCTACCTCATTGCTTACAACAACATAAATCTAAAATATTTTATGCTCATTCATTAACATAGGATCTGTTTGGGATCTTATAGTTCTTTATAAATTTAGATTTTATTTGGGACAACTTTCTTACTATTTTACTTTTCAAACCGCGATCACAATTTTGTTTGGCCAGTTCTGCTTTCAATAAATTTTTATGCTAAGCGATATTTTTTACAACAGCTTTCAAAAAAGCTGCATTCTCCACTCTAGGTTTACAATTGTCTAAAAAAGTTGTTGTCATCTTAAATGAAGCCTTAGGTTTCTTACTTTTTCTTAAAGTAACTTTCTAGTAAAAAAGTTAAAATTACTACGTATTAAGGCTTCGTTTGGGACGGTTTTTTTATTGCTTTCTAAAACGTAGTTTTAGTACAATTTTTTTTATTTTTGTACTAAAACTCCGTTTTAGAAAGCAATAA